TCGTAAAATAGAAAACAAATTGATCTCGAGTTTTCAAACACTCATTCGTTCAGTGCATTATACTATTTCGTTTGTAATGCGATCATAATTTAGAAAAAAGTGATCATCGATTAATGGTTTGCCCACTGTTTGGCACCGCGAACTATACCGGAACTTGGGCCCGGGACAAGAAACGCGTACGGGCATCCCAGCCGAAGGCTATCACGCCGCACCATTCACCGCTGCGCTTCTTATCTGCGTTTCTTTCCGCGCTGCGTGCCGTGGGAGATTCACGAGGGTTCCGTGAAATTTCACGCGGACAATTCCCTTTTTACTCGTCCCGCCTCTCGCGCGGAGTTTCGTACAGAATTCGATCTCTCAAAGGAATTTCGCCGCTCCTCGGACTCGCGTCCGAGTAATCAATTAGCCGGTCGAACTTTATGGAAAAAGATCCCTCGGCAAACTTCGTTCACTGAGTTCGTTATGCTCGCGGATTTCGCTGCCGACTCGCATTGTTATTTCGTTCATTTCGTCCGATATAAACGTCTCGTTAGTCGGCTCATTTTTCCGACGAATATGGATAGTTTGAGGAATTCAGGCCGACAGAGTAGAAGTTACGTGAAAACGGTGAGAATGCAGTGTTCAAAGAACGAAAGGCAATCCTTTGAAACATCTTTTACATTTTATGGAATTTCTATACGCGAGACAGAACGATTTATCGTTTCCACCGTTATTTTCACTTGGTTATATGTATACTATGTTTCTAGTTTAGATTAAATAAACGGAGTTCGCTCAGTAATTCATGGTAAGCAATGAACCGTTATTGAAAAACTTCTGGAAAGCTGACGTAAAGAAATATTTGACGTTTTTATACTTGTTCCACTGCACGGGTACTGGCCACGTCGCGCGCCATTTGTATTGAGTTATAAAATACATTGTAAAATTAACGACGATTTAATGGAATAGTTGTAAAATGGTATCGCCGTTGGAAATGTGAAGGGTTAAGCTGTCGTTTCAATGGACGGTGATTTACACCGTCGCAGTTAAAGAGTTAATTTCACGGTGAAACCCCCCCCTTGGCAACTTCTAATTTTATTAAAGCCGATCGGAGCCTATAGAAAAACTGCGCAAACCGTAGCCTACGCTGTTTCACTTTCATTGTTTCAAACAAAAACCTGGTCAGTGTTTGCGTTAAGCTTATTTACTTCGTTATCGTCGAAGAATAGGAAACGAGAACAATGAGAACGAAAATTCTATCGAAAAATTTGTACTACTGCTCGTTTTATATTACTATAGCAATGTTTCAGATATCGTAGCTCATCACTGATTACAACTTTCACGGTTTGTACGCCACGGTTTATTTATCGCTGTCACTTGTTCATCCGATGGTATTTATTGTAGCGCAGCGTCGAGCAGAAAGGAATGAATGCAATATAAAAAATGACCGTAATTACGCTTCATAAAGAAGAGAAACTGGTATGAGAAAATCCGTAAAACCGCCGGGAGGAGTTATATTGTTCTTCCATATAACAGTGTAAAACGATGTGGCGAGTATTTAAGTTAGTGAGTGAAAAGAGCCGGTGGGATGTTTAGTAGAAGAAAGTAAATAACGACCTCTTAGAAATTAACCAAATTTTATTCTCATGGAATCCTGCACGCCTGCTAGAAAAACGAGCCACGTTTACTTAAAATTGAAAGAAACTAAACTGTGTATCACTCGTCATTTATGAAAGTTTAATATCAAGTTTTGTACATAGAGATATTATGTACTTATTAACTTTATTACATTTTTAACTAGAATTTCAGGAAATCCCTAGGCCTATTTCTTGTTTTAACAAATTACTTGATTCCTATATTTGCAAGATCTTCACTCTCGATTTTTTAATCTCTCCTCGTATCATAATGTTACACTTTTTACTGGGACTATCGTCGACACGGAAGGTCACGCGCGATTAAAAAATATCGTCGAAATAGGTCCTCACGTGAGGTAACGGCGTGTCATTGCTATTCACGAACTCGCGGCTTCGTGACTGGAAAATTATTCGCGAAGAATCAAGGCCAGTTGTAAAATTTTGCCAGATCCCAAAACAGCGGAAGGCATACGATAAACTAAAAATCTTATCGATTTTGATAATCAATTTTGATATATGCAAAGCATTATTTGATATTTATTATCGAAGAAACATTTTGTCAGTTGAAGATATCCAGTCTCAAATAGTGTAAAATTGTCTACTATCTCTGAGATCCTTGTTCTTTAATTAACTGCATCAAGTACAAATTTATATAAGATTGAGTAACGTGTAAGAACACAAATCAAATAACTTTAAACGAAAGGGAAAGTTACATTCATTCCTGGTTTTTAATTCAAATATTACCAATCGATCGTTCCAATTGTTCTTTTACAATGACTAGGTACACTAATTGACAGAAAGGCACTTTCTGGACATTCTTATACTACATTATCAGCTCAAGATAGATATTCCATCCTGTTTCGTTTATTAGTCACACGGCCGCAGTATTTTAAGCAAACAATGCAGATACGTTTCTCTTATCAGGATTAAGCACGACCCATGGTAGGAGTGGCGGAGTGCAGCTAACACTGAACCGGTAGCTGAGTTCAAATTCAAGAAACAAATAACGCACTTCGTCGTACGGTGGGCACAAAAGTCACATGCACGTAAAGCAGCATGAGAACAGCAAACAAATAAAAATCCTATATCTTTCTATTATGAAATGTACATTGCGTGATAAAGTCTGATTCATTTAATGCAAGTGAAACTACTAATTATGAAGGACGTAGCAATTAATTTCCTTTGTGCAGTAATTACAACAGCTAAGGAATAAATATAAATAAAACAAGAATATGATTTGATGAAAATAATAATAGAAAAATGTAGTTTGCTTTCATAAATTCTTTTAAAGCTTGTCCGATACAAATAAATTCGACATTTCCCAATTCGACTAAGCCGAGGAACTTTCAAAGTGTTCGCAAATTTAAGTGACAAGCGTCATCGCACTGGACGTGTTTCGGAGCGGGTCATCGCACCCAGGGAAGAAGAAAACTCTCCCGTTTTCCCGGTCCGAGGAACCGACGACCGAGCAAAGCGTCTTCTACCTATATCACAAAGCACTCGGAAATCGAACTCGGTGTTGTCTGGTCGCACTTGCGTTTTCGGAACGGATCCTGGCAGCTTGCCCCGTTCGATTTTTATCGCGATCCGAGCGCACGAAAACGAAATTTCTTTATCGCGGAAAGACGATCCTCTCGGGTAAAACCCGGCACGGAGAAGTGAACTCGGTGGGGTTTTGGAACAGAGACAAGCAGAGAAAGGGTTTTTCGTGCGGCTAGTTTGACCGGAGCGTCGCGGCGCGACTAGTCCGACGGTGAGCAACCGCGAATCGAGTTTCAATGACACACGCGGCTCCGATCTCACATTGCCGACGGCTATTACCGAGTTCTGACTCTACGTTTCACGAGATTTCTCACTGAAGACTATACAACTCTTGACTACAACTTTTATCAACGCATTCATTAAAGAAATTGTCGAAATCTTATTCCGTTTAGATGCTAAAATGTGACGAATTTGTTATCTTGTATGATGTTCAGACTAGAATAGTAAATATGTATAACTGTAATCGTGAGTATGGGGAATAATATTAAGCAATTGCATACATTGACGTGTGCTATTTGATCAGAACTGTTTCTCAATCAGTTGACACGTATAGTAAACGTCCCAATTTCTGTTCACTATCTTAAAATTAGATACAAAATTATAGAAAAAGGAGACAGTGAAATCGTGACGTGAACATTTCTAAATTAGGACATTTAAATCCCAAGAATTTAAGTAATGTTAATAATTCGTAATCTCCATAATTGATAATTGCAAACTGTGTTTCAAGCGAATAACACTACGATTCACTAAATAGCTTTTCTTATCAAATAAAGAATGATATAATTCATAGCCTCACATTTTATTGAATATCTGATGATGCAAATTCTTTTAATAAAGAAAACACTATACAGGATTAAATAGTTTAATTCCTCATTTTCTGACAATAATTCTTAAGAATGGCAACATGAACGTTTGAGATTCAATGTAAAAATTGATACCTAATGAAAAAGATTCCAGTGAGAAGATCCCTAACCAGGTAAAATATCTTTTAGAGAAAGTTTAGGAGATCCAGTGCTAGTCATCTTAGATCAGAATTGATAATAGATGAAAGTTTTACATGAATACCTTCGAATGTCGAGAGGGATCGTAAATATGTTAGATGCAAATATCGAACTTGCATAAAGCAATGCATTTGGAGAATATTTAACAAACACGAGTAAAGTGATTACGAAAAACGAGGAAATAATTTATGTTCGAATTAAGAGAATTTAAGATTCGTTACGATTCAAGGTGTGTACCAAGAAAAACGATGAAACGCTTCGCACATAATTATCTAACATATCAACACCACTTACATTGTACATTTTATAGTCTTGATTTATCGTGGAAATCTAATTCAAAGAGAAATTTAGTATTCTATGATTCTGACATTTATAGATGCACGATTAGCTCAATGCCTGCAGTAAAAATGCAATTTTCCTCAAACAATCTTAAGTAACATCGCCAGATCTTGAACACCATTGTTACTATCAATTTAACGAATTGAGTATATGCTTCGAATCAAACGCGTCACACGGATGGGAACTGTCACGTTGCATTCTAATCCCTTATCAAAATTCGCCCACTTGCCAGATATGAATTTATTTCACATTTCCCTAACCGGACATAATCAGAGGAATTCGGTCGTCCCGATTCACTGTTGATTTCACGTGGCGAATCTCGCAGCATGCGGTGAAATAGAACGGACTCAAGGCTACTCTACGGTAGGAAGGGCACTCGAACGTGCTTTTTTTTCCTCGCCTAATCTAAACCACAAGAGCACTCGGCCACGATTCGCCCACGAACCCCCACACGGTTTTACAACGGGCCGCACCGGTGAACGCATAAATGTAGATTTTTCTCACTTACGGGTCTCGTTCACGTTTCCCACGGTATTGATCAGCAGAGGTCCCTGGACAAGATCCTCCTCGAGGTGGGCACGGCTCGGTCGGGCTTGCTTTCTCCGTGACATCCCTTCTGGCCTGTTGATCGCTGGCTCACGTCTCGTCTCGCGCTCGTCACGTTGCGTCGCGGTGGTTGATCGGAACAACGGGTGCGGGGCGTCTCGTCGCTGGTCGCTGGCAAAAAATCTCGCTCAGACGGGCCGACGACACATAAACGGTCCACGCCGCGGCGAGGACCACCGCGTCGTCGTCGTTGGTTCCGCACTCGTCGATTCCTCTCGCGGGTAAACCGATTCACTGCTGTACTTCACCATCGACACTTGTCAGGGAGCCGCACCTCCCCGCGCGCGTTAATCCACTTCCTGAACGATCCCATGCGGACAGGCCGTGTTCACCCGGTTTAACACGGTCGAAAGTAACGACACACCCGAGCCATCCCGCGACGAATCGCGCGACACTCCGAGAACTCGAGTTCCTTCAGGATGAAAATGAAAAAACAAAAAATAAAAATACGGCACGTAGCTCCTCGCGTCGACTATTTTCTCCGCCGATCCCTTTCCCTCTGTTCCACTGTATTATTATTATTATTATGTACGTTTTCACACACTGAACTTATTTCTTTTTCCTTTTTTATCGAAACCGTGGACCGCCCGATGACCGGTGGTGCGCACACGTGTGTCACATGAACCGTTTTGCGTCGCGAAACTATCAGTCCGTCCTGCGTCCACGCGGGACACCGCGTGCGTGCGTGGTTGCGTGCCCGGTTCTGGCCTGCTGGCTCGGTCGCCTGGCCTGCCTGCCCGCCTGCGTGCGTGCCTGCGTGGTACGTAAGGTGCGCGGAAACCTGTGTACGTGTGTCTGTATATACATACGCGCGTATGTATATATATATATGTGTATACGTATGTGTATGTATACGTGTGTTTATGGTCCTATATCTCGCGCGAAATCCGCGGGGCTCTGGTGCCTCGAGTCGGCCGGACGACGGACGGACCAGCTCTGCGCCTGACGTCGCTTAGCCCCTCTCCTGCGCTGACCGTCGCGCCCGTGGTGGGATCGGCGGGGAGAGGACTGCGCGCGCTTGCCGCCCCAACCGACGGCGTCTCCCCCCACCGTGGGCAACCCTTCCCCAAACCGGCACCCGCGGCTCCTCGGCACCCAGGAGAGGCAGGGGTGGGATCAAGTTCAACGTGTACTCATGAATCTGAATCAATTCGATAAGTACAGACCGAAAAAAAGTATCCAGGTATAAGTTACATACCCGCGGACCGTTCGACTTCCTTCGCTGCCTCTATTCAACGTATTTACTACGCTATGTAACTCACCTCGCGATGTATGCGATGGTAAATTAATCGCTTCTTGCCTCGGAACGTGGGAACTTGATGCGGCCAGTGGCTACGAATGAACGAGTATCGAGAATGAAACCGCGATTACGAATGTTCATCGACGCCTAGCTCGGCTAGATTCGCCCAGCGGAATCATCAGGTAATTTTTCTGTTCTCTATTCACCTGTTTATTTGTTCAAATGTTTTCGCTTCGAGTTAACCGTTACGTATCGCTGGTTAACGAGCATTCGGCGCGGAAAGAAATGGTTCGGGGAATGGAAATCAGAGTGAGAAATCTGTGCGTATATCGAAAGGCTGCTTGGTGAAAGAAACCAGCCGGAATGATTATGGTAACGCAGTTTATTCGGGAACAAATAACTTCCTGTAAATGTTCTTATAATTGCGTCATTGTTCGAGCTAACGAATAAACCAGAAGGAATCTTGTTTGTTCTCAACTGTCACGAGGTTCAAGAGAATTCTCGGCACTATTCATTCATCAAATTTATTTATCCCGACGTCATAATTTTTTCAATGTCCGCCAGTTATTTTCTATTGTCCACAAGTGGCTCGGCAATCAACGTCGAACGCAAGCAAAATATTATTGATGTACCACGAATTATCAATAATCTGTAGAAAGAAATGTAAAACTGATTCCTCTAATAAAAACACGTAATTAAGCCGCCGGTGAGACGCGGTGACAAGCAATCGATATGAAAACCATGGTTCTGCGGAACGACAAGTAACCGATGATAATTGGTATCGTCGCCGGTATCGTTAATTTACGAGGCCGGCCGCGCTGCATTCATTACTTATCGGCAGTTTTCGCGTTGCCCGCGGATCGAAGGAAAAGCGAGGAGAATTTCCACGGTGACGGACTGGCTGTTCTCTCTCGGATGATTTTCTGCCTCGGCTTCGGTTGTGTTTCTGTAACTCTACCCCCCACTCGCGCCGGTCTCACCGTCGGTTTTCCCCTTCCGGTTCGACGTTTCTCCCCGCCGTGGTAGCCACGTCGGAGGGCGTTACCTACGTCGAACGACGCCACACCCCCTTATGCATTATTATACCGGCAGGCACTCGTGTCTCTATGATTTTATATGCCCTGTGAATATTCTACCACCGGCTTTTCCCCTACCGCGCGTGCCGCACGGCCGCGCACGCCGATTGTATTCTCGTCGCGCTGACGAGGTTTTTATAGCGACGACGCGCCGCGTCACAGAGAAACGTTCCTCCTCGGCGTCGCGTCGCTCCGCGCCGGTCTTCCCGCGATCCGCTTTCCTGTATCGGATCCGAACGTACAGTCTTCACTTGAACAGCCTCGAATAAAAATTGATACATGCATGTAAGCTCATGTCGAAGAAAAGAATTGCTTGCTTATTAGCGACAGCTATTTGCATTATAAATTAGTAGCTGACATTAGTTTAAATTGATGTAAACACTTGGACGATACGATATAACAGGCTTCTGGCTTCCTCGTGAAAAGCCTTAAGTGATTAGTCATAGTTAATACAACTGCATAATTTCGTAAACCGTAGTAATGTACGTAAAAAAAAAATTGGAATTTCTTAATATGCATATTCACATGACTTGAGAATTTTAATAGAAACACTTTAAACGAGTCCTTGTGTTAATAGACAGAGCTCACTTGTTTCCCAGATGACTTGACAAGAAATTATTATTTCCAGATGAAACTAAATGCTTCCAACAATTGCACTTTTGTGTACTAGTAATTCAAATTCTGTGATAATCATTCAGTACATTAAATGACCATTGCCTCAAAAAAATTTCAAAGATACAAAGACTGTAAATACTTGATACGTAGATTTTTCTGTAATTAAGCTTATTATAATTGACATGGGTTTATTGAATTTATTTACTTGATGATACGTTCCAGCATCGAAAAGCACCTAACCGCGAATCCGCAATCGTTACTTGTAAATCTTTAGCGATACGAGCAACCCTTTCCCTGCCATTCAACCCTTATAGCGTTCTCGGGGAAAAAAAGCAGTCCGGCGGCTGACTCGCCACTTGGAAACGTTGGCCCCATTCCGGTCTCGTCTTTAAGGTGTCAGCGCGCTTTAATCTTCGAGAGCCCCGGAGAGTCCCGGAGGCTCAGCTATTCCTTTTAGCCGGCCCGTTTCGCTTTGAACCAGCCGGTTATACTCTATCATGCGATGCCGGAGGGGGAGAACAGGTGGATCGTAGGAGTATCGACGATTCCGAGGGACCGTTTGGGGTAAGGCGAGAAGGTCCAAGGTTCAGGTGCTGCCGCGCCGGTTGCGTGCACTTTTATCGTCTGAAAATGCGCACTCGTCCACCTCTTCCTCCCCCTGTCTTTTTTACCTCTGTGTCGAGCCTTCCGGGCTGCATCTCGGATCCGTGCGGTGCGCCGGGGATCTTCGTTCACGAGGGAGAAACATTGACTCCTTTTGCGGGTTTCGGGGCTTTTGTGCGATATGCTGCTTCTTTGCGGTGACGCACCGCTGATCTTTGAAGCGCCCGTTTCGCGGCTACGGCCGGATAGAATATTCGGTCATAAAGTCGATGAATGAAACGGTACAGTGTTTTCGTGTTACATTCAGTAATGAGTAATTTAGATAAGTATAGCCTGTGGGTATCAAAAGTGTTTGCACTCCCTTCTTGTCTAGACGAAATCTTATGAAAATGCAAATAAGTACAAGAATATGCAAGGTGAATGATTTTTCCTTATGGATGAAAGAACTCGCAGATGTTGCACACGTGTTACCTTATATTAGCGACGTTTTTATACTCTGTAAATTATCGGGGAACGCAAGTCAACAAAAAGAGAAAAGAAACGGAAAATTAAATTACGCCGCTGTAGATGCATCTCGTTGTATTCGCGGAAACAGCGGAACATAAAAAGTTACATCTCCTTAAATCATTCAACCTTTCCAGCCAGCCTTGCAGCCATAAGTACTGTTTCTTTCCGTTATGTATATCTAAAGTGAGATATGACTTAGCCTAGTTGCGTGACTCGGGCTATCGGCCGCTGCTATGTACTTAACCAGTGGTTTTATTCGAGAACCTTATGATACTTCGCGGTACGGTTAGTGTACTACATATATTTTGCATATACGCAGCTACCCAATAAATTCAATTGCATTATTGTCAGTGAATTATCATCAACGATATTTAACCGTGCCGATGTGTACATTGCTATCTGAAAAATAATATAATATAATAAATTATTCAGTTTCTGTTCATTTCTTTTCTGTCGTTTTACATATTTAATAATTATAAGTTAGTAAATAGAAATTGAGACATTTGCTAACCAATTTGATTATCTGAAGTGTCTTGGATTTGAATAGAACCACTTTAAATACACTCTTACTGAAAAGAAGAACAAGGACTGGTTCGGTTGCACAAAATGCACATTTCTCCTAGCCTATTTGCATGCGCATTGTGAGACGCGAAATTCAGGTGGTGCATAGGTACGCGGCCGCTAAACGAACGGCAAACACACCCTCCCGCGAAACACGAACGAAGCATTAACACCCCGGTTTGAGTCTCGGAACGCCGCTTCTTTTGTCTCTGGCCCGTAATTTTTGCGCAACGATCGTTGCGCCCAACCAGCGCGGCGTTTCCACCGAACGGAGCAGGTAAAACGGTAAAAAAAAGGGTGGCCGGAATAGGCGCCGGCGCCGCGTCGTCGGGTTTTGACACCTGCGGTGGCGGAATTTTCACCATCGCTCTCTACCTGTTTCACGCGCCTTTTCCAAACAGTCCCGAGCCTTTCTGGTATATCTAGCCGAGGTTAGGTACCGTAATAAATAATTTTTACGTGCTGTTTTTTCTTCCAGCTATTTAGGGGTGAAAGTCGGCTCGGCCAGGGTTCGTCCCTGGCTCGATAATGGACAGAATGAGTTACGTTTATCTTTCGGCAGGTTCCGGTTGCTTGTTCTTTTTTCCTTTTGTTTTGCGGTACATATTTATCGTTTGCCTGCTTTTGTTTATTTAATGAGTAATTAAAGGTGCTTTAAAAAGAATTCTGAAATATCTTCTACAAGTATAAACAAAATGCGTCATTAAATATTTTTATTAATATCAATTTCTGGTGTTACTTTTATTACATACAAATTTGTGTCTCCTATTGTAAAAACGATAATAAAATTTTATGTATTTTCAGATAAATTAAATGTTTTTAATATAATACGATGAATTTTTGTTCGACCCTTGTTGAACATTTGAGTAAATTGTAAAAAGGTTAAAAGGACCGCAGTATATCCGGTGTGGCAGGGTGTTAGCACCCCCCAGGGTGGGAGAGGAGCAGGCCCAGCAAATCGACGTCGTTTAGATTGCGCTGCATTCAATTAGGCCGCCGGATAAAGAGTCGTGCTTTCACCGACAACCCTGCCCACAGTACGTTTCTCTCATCCCCGGTTTCTGTTTTCGGTTGTTCATTTGCCCTCCATGCGCACCGGGCTTTGTTTTGTCAAAAGAATGGTTTTTGCTTTGTCTCAGAAACGTCGCCGATATTTTTATTTCTGACCGGTTCCCTAAATAAAACCACCCTTTCCCGGATCCCTTTTTCACATGGAAATTTATCTTGCCCGTTCCTGTTCCTCGTCAATGGGAAATATGCATACGAAGCTTATGCAATTTTTAAAAATAACACTTGTGCCCCTTTCTATTTT